CCCTCACTACTCACTCAGTCGCCATCCTTGTCCACAGCCTCATCACTTCCCGTATTGACTACTGCAACTCTCTTCTCTTCGGTCTTCCTCAGAAATCCCTCCATAAACTCCAACTTCTCCAGATCTTGGCAGCTCGCATCATTACCAGAACTCCCTCCTTCCACCACATCACCCATTCTTCAGCAGCTCCACTGGCTCCCAGTCACTTCCAGAATACAATTTAAAATTCTGCTATATACCATACCATACCATACCAACTTTATTTATAAAGCACATTTAAAAACGGCATGGCAGCCGACCAAAGTGCTGTACAGAATAAAAAGTAAAAACACAATATAAAACAATACACGGTCAACAATAAAATACACAACAAAGCAGATAATCATGGTCAATAAAAAGAGACATGATAAAATAATAAAAGTCAGGGATTTAAAAATCCCTGGTTGTAAAAGTCAGCCTTAAGTAGCGACTTGAAACAGAGGAGGGATGGTGCCAGCCTCACTGAAAGAGGAAGAGCATTCCAGAGTGTTGGAGCAGCATAGACAAAAGCCCGCTGCCCCCACGTTTTGTATTTCATTGTTGGAACGCGAAGCCATCCATAACCTAGCTCCCCCGTACCTTTCAGACCTCTTTCATCCCTCAACCTCCACCCGTTCCCTCAGGTCCTCCTCCTGCATCCACCTCTCTGTCCCACCTTTCCATCTGGTCACTATGGGGAGCAGGGCCTTCAGTCGCTCTGCTCCCCAGCTCTGGAACTCACTCCCTCCTGACCTCCGTAACATTGACTCCCTCACTCTCTTTAAAACCAGACTCAAAACCCACCTGTTCCATGTAGCATTCTAATAATTGCTCTATTTAATCCAATCTGTCTGTTTGTTTTATGCTGTTCTACCTTTTATTGTTGTGTATTTTATCTCTGTCTGTAAAGTGTCCTTGAGTGTTTAGAAAGGCTCTGTTGAAATAAAATGTATTATTATTATTATTAATGGGCAGAAGCGCACCTGTCAGGTTTTCAAGTTGCATTGACACGGGACATGACATATAACACTGCTGTCCATTGTGCTGAAACAAATCGGCTTATCGATGGCATGTCATGGGTAACCATGACAACCAGGACAAAAATTCAAGCACTGGGCCCTATAGTCACAAAAAAGATGGTCCCTTCGAGCAACACCATGCAGCGATGAGCTTTGGAGCAGCAGCACATCAGCAACTATACATAAATGAAAACATTTTAAAACGTGGTCAGTGGAGTCTAAAGCCTTATTTATACTTCTCCATCTGTGTTGAGACGGACGCACACAATGCCTTTATCTGTCCTCTCGAGGGCTCTCCAGCAGGCTCGCAAGGACATACGGAGTAGAGCTCAATTTTCTAAACATACATCCGCTGAGATGGAAATTGCAAGCTATTGATTGGTCAGGATGTTGCTGTCGTCTACAGCACCACAGGAAACGTGGGTTTAGAGGTGGCGATCACATGAAGAGGTGGAGTATAATGAGGGACAAATTTGTCTGTGTTAGATAGTCTCTTAAATACAAAAAAACACAATGTAAACAATAGTATATGCACTATCTTAGACCGGATACATGACAGGATACCATAGAACAGCACTACGCCCTCTGTTGTCTTGGCGGGGAATTGTTTTGCAACGCTCCCCAGGAGACGGAGAAGTCTGAAGGCAAAACCTTTCTGTCCATGCATGCGTGTCTCTCCCTCATGGAGCTGATGTAGAAGTATAGGTTAGGCTTAAGATGGCAATAATCATTCATCGTTTGGTGGGCAGGGTTAGGACGGGCTCGGAGTGGACCCGCTGCTCCTCCACACTGAGAGGAGTGGCTTAGGCATTTGATTAGGATGCCTCCGGGACACCTCCCTGATGAGGTTTTCTGCGCATGTTTATCCTGGACATGCTTTTTCGTCAGCTTGACAGCATCCCTAACAGGACAGAACCGGGAAAGTTTAATACGTCCAACCTCATCGCAGATTTGAAGCAGCATCTCAAAACACTGCATGAGGATTTTAGCAGTGTGTGAATTTGAAACTTATGACACTAAAATTTTAGCAGTTGGTAAATGGACAATATTGTCTTTTTTCATATGTCCCTGCCCTGAGCAGTTCCTATTTGCCGACAGTAAAACATAACTGAAGCGACCTTGAATTAGTATTTTGTACTTAAAAGGGACTTTAAGGAGTTTGAAAATTTTAATGCTCGTGATAGGAAGCCTAAGTCTCCTTCCTTTCCGGTTGACTCATGGGTTCTTGGAAGAACGAAAAAATGAATGCAAGTCAATGGGGCTAAAAGAGCTGTTTTCTAATCCGCTTTGCCTTAGACCATGGATCACACATGTGCTCAACTGCGATAGATGAAATTGTTTGAGTCTAGAACAGCTGTTTCTGAATAGCTGAAGCAGCAAGTTTCTGTGTAGCTGCAGGCTAAGTTTGAGCTCCTCCGTGGTTAGCTTGTAGCAAAGCTAGGATTTCCTGTTTTATTTTCGAGCTTGTTTATGGCCGTTTCAACACTAACATGCCATTCTGGAGTTGGGTTCGGGCCCATGATGTGGCCAGATTATTCTGTCACAAGCTATACTGGTGGACCCATAAGAAACACCCAAAACAGAATGAAACTTTTAAAAATGTTATTAAACGAAGGAGAGGGATGATGATGAGAGAAGGTAGGTACTAGTCAGGAGACAAGCAGGGTTGTTACCAGAAGATCCAAGATGTTTATGTTTATGTATTTAGCAGACGCTTTTGTCCAAAGCGACTTACAAGTGATAATCAGCATGTTGCCCTTGAGGCTAACAACAACAATAACAACAACAACTTGACATCAATCATGGAGAGGAGGGAACAAGGAGTGGACAGTAGAGAGGGGGGACGGGTGCAGGGAGGGTGCTAGCTTAGAAGATGCTCTCTGAAGAGCAGGGTCTTCAGGAGTGTCTTGAAAATTGAAAAAGAAGCCCCTGTTCTGGTAGTGCTTGGAAGGTCATTCCACATTTGTGGAACGATGCATGAGGGTTACCATAACCCCAAAATTCCACTACCTCCGCTCCGCTGCGCTCCGCTCCGGCACGAACTCCGCAGCAAAATCGGTCCCGTTGTAGTCAATCAGAGCTGTTCCACTAATGCATCCGTGCTGCGCAGTGCGCCGCCCGCCGTCGATAGAATCAATCCTATTTTTGCCGGACGCCAGAGCACCTCCGCAGTCAATGGACAGAAATCACAACCGCCCAACAGGAAAGGGAGCAAGCACAACTTCCGTTATTTCACAATAAATCGATAAACAAAAAGCGTTTTTTGTTTCATATGCACAGGTTTAACAACTTTTAACAACTATCAATGGCGGTTGAACTCTAAATGCACAAAAATAAGCCATAAATACAGTTTCCACTATCAAAGTAGTCACACTTTGTTGATCCAAACACTGCTGATCTCTCAACACAAATGATGGGCAGATTAAACAGTTCATTTCGATGCTTCTCCCACACAACGGGTGTTTGCATCTAACTTCCGCGTTTATTGCTCGGACTGAATCGCAAGATCTCAAAAATCCAGCACATGCCTGTTTGTGCTCCTCAGGTCTCCGCACCGGAGCGGAGCCGTTGTAGAGCGGGTACAGTATAATTTGAGTTCGGAAGCGAGCGGCTGCGGAAGGTGGGAGCGGAGCGGAGGTAGTGGAATTTTGGGGTAACCCTAACCCTTGACTAGTCGTTGATGACATCATACACCTGAAGCGGCTAAAACTGACGATGGATGACCAAGCGTTTTTTCCTGATGCACGTCAGGAAGCTTTTTGACGCCTGCAGTAAAACGGAGATTTCACCGAATTGTGACCTTTACCCTCTTGCTATTTAACCTGTCCCCCACCCCCCACCCAGTGCTTAATTTGCAAATCAAACGTTCCCAGAACGCAAATACTGACGTCAACCTAAAGTTCACTAAAGGCAAAACAGATGTCGTAACACGCATGGTAGGGGGGGGTTGGTTCGCTGGTGTTTTTGACAATTAAAATTGAGCCCACATTTTCAAAGTTAAACACATCTCTTTTGACAACGGTAGTTTCTGCTTCGGCCCTCTCCCCCCTCCCCCTGCGCAGCGGCTGCAAACTCACTGATGCGCCTGCAGCCTCTCAGAGTTCCTGCTGATCTAAGCATTGAAATAATTATTTCATTTTCTGTTCCTCACTTCTGATTACCTTCAATGGTGTCTGTTTGTTGCAACCAGCAGGTACAAAACTAACTTGTTTTTATTTGACTATTTTTCTGTCCTGCCTGTTTATTATCTTCCTGCATCTCCTCTCAGTCCTAAAGAGAAACTGCTACCTGGGTTCATATATATTCACCTTATGAGTTACCTTTGAACTGCAATTCTAAAAGATCTACCGACCGCAAAAACAGCGGAGTGCTCACCGGCCGCACCGGTGGGGTGCATCACCGGAGGACAAAACAGGTGATGCGCCCCGCTCCACAGCAGCGAAAAGCATCAGGTACAAATAAAAGACAGAAAACATAAAAGGAAATGAGCCGACATGAACGATTGCGTGTTAAATTAGTTTTGAGGTGGTGACACCTGATTTGATAAAGTTACTGTGGCCGTGCTCAGGACGCAGATGTCTAGATCGCGTCAACGATCAGAGCTTTGCATGCACAAGCTGGTTAAGATTAAGATGGGGGTGAGGGGAAGGTTAAATTGCAAGAGGGAAAAGGTCACAAATTGGTTAAATGTTCGTTTTACGGTGGACGTCAGTACCGACGCTCTGGCACAGCACGTCGCCTCCAGACGCGCAGGGGCTCATCACCTGCTGTCTTTTCCGAGGACTGTATCTTGCCGGTCATTATCATGTGACAGCGACTAGTCGATGAATGGCATAAAAAGTCACTACAGAGCAGTGAAGTCAACTAGTCAACTAGTTGATCCAACCCCTAGTCAATACTGAAAGCTGCAGTATCAGTATTGTATCAAAAGTAAAAAAGTTGTATCGGGACATCCCAACTTACGAGCGTGTATTCTTTGCAGGTTGATGTGCTTTTCCAAGTCTCGTCTCAGTTTCACCTCAGCACCATACTTTCCCACTGTCCCATCATCCACCAACAGGAAATGGGAATGCAGACTGTTGAGAACGTTGAGTTTGCTCAGAGGATTCAACAGTGTCTGATATGGAGCGATAATCTATTTAGGAAACAAGAAGGTGGAAAGTTCTTATAAAACTAAGTCAGGGTGAAACATTCTTTTTAAGGATGAAAGAAAGGCCTCACGTCTCTGCCAATAAGATCGTTCCTGTTCTCTATGACCCCCCACGGTGCCACTCCAATGGTGTAAATTTTCTTAGATGATCTTGAACAGTGTTCTTTAAGAGCGTCTCCAACGTGCTTTGCCACACCTTAAAGACGGAGACAAAAGACACACCTAAGAAAATGTTCATTAACTCTAAATTAAAGAGTAGGCAGAATGATTAAAAACAATCCTAAAGCAAGTTTGTAGTAAAACTGAAAATAAAGCTTTCAAAACTGTTCCTACTGGTAAAAGCCACACTAGAGGAGTCTTTCACCAAATTCTCTCCAATGAGTCAAGTCCACAAGAAGTGCCTTAACTTGTTATGAAGCACGGCCGTCATGGCTTCAGCAGGCGGTTGAGAACCAGGCGACCATCCCAGCAAGCATTAAAATAATCACTGGTCTGGGTAATTGAACCTGTGAGTAATAACTTAAACACTATGATCAGACCACAGCATCTTAGCATTGTGCTGTGGCTGCAGACATTCACAGCCAAATGACACGCTGCAGCTGCTTTGAGGCCCACCTGACACCTTCTGCTGCATCAGCGAACTGCCATCATGGTGGCTGCCATTGTTTCTGCCCTCAGGTTCATTTACCGTGACCATCTATTGACATTTACAACAAGGAAACTGATGTATGTTTACATTAATTTTAAATGCACCTACAAAAATCAAACCACATCACTTTAAACAGATCCCCACAAACAAACCAGCAGGAAGGAAAACAGCGCTTCCTACAAGATGCCGTCCCAGACTACGTGCCTGTGTTGACCCCTCCGGTGAGAATCCAGGCCCCCGTGGTGACAGCAGCTTTGATCAGGCCCTTGCCCACCACTTGCTTGATGCGTGGGTGCAGGTCAAAGTTCTGTACTCCTCCGTGGACAGAAATGAGAATCTTTGGAAGCTCCATGTGCCACTCTTTCAACATCAGCCGCAGAATGCTTTCAGGCCGAGAGTCGAAGGACAGACGCACATACTGTCCATGTTGGCAGAGACAAGAAAAAGGACACGCTCCCATCAGCCCACAGAGAAGAAAGCAACAGAACCCAAACCTGCTCTGTCTTTTGGCATTTTCATGTTCTTATATTCAGACAAAACAACAAGCGCAGCTGTGAAGCTCTTCCAGCCTCTGACCTTGGCTCTGTATGAGTGAGACCCTCCCTGGAAGTTGATGACACCATAGGCATCAGTCGGGCTCTCTTCTGTGTGCTTTTCCACGGACCACTCCTCCACACTGCTCAGATTAGAAGTTTCACCCAACTTCACATCCGAGTACTTTGTGGCCAGGCTGGCTGTGAACCCAGCATGCTGGCGCACCAGCCGGCCGCAGCAGCACCTGCACATTCAACATAACCACAGTTATTATGGTCTGTAGTCAGAACACTATTCTGAGAAGGAGAGAGGATTTTTACATTGCGCCGCTCAAAACAAAAACCAGGTGCTTCACAAGAACAATGGAGTGAAATTGGCAGAGGAGGCAGGAGCCTGCCCTGTAACCGGAGGTTGCCGGTTGAAGCCCCGTCTGTCACCGTCATTGTGTCCTTAAGCAAGACACTTCAACCCTGCTGGTGGTGGTCAGGGGGAGCAGTGGCCTCTTTCAGTGTGCCCCAGAGCAGCCATCACTACCAGCGGGTGAATGACTAAAGCCGGGCGGACACTGTGCGACTTTTTCACTCGTAGCACTCGGCTTCAGCTCAAACTGTACGACTTCCTCGCAGGGCAGATCTCACGAGTCATGCGCTCACACTGTACGACCCAGTTCTCGGTTGCGACCTGACTGCTCACACTGTACGTCTGGTAGCAACGCGTCAGCCCTAAAAATATGCTAAAAATAGCAGTTTTTACACGTCAGACTGTTTTGTCTCGTCTTGCCTGTTGTCCTTCGGGAGTGCTGCAGGAGGACACACAGGGATTTATGGGGGTTGGATGAGGAAAACGAAATAAAGAAAGTAAATCTGAGTTTTGTGATCAGTTTAATTTGACATGAACACGACAAACACGCTTTCTTGACAACCTTTGTGAGTAAAAAACGTGTAGAAACAAAAACGAACAGCGTGTGTTATTAGGGAAATAGCGGGCGAGCGGCGTTGATGCAGGATTGCGCATGCGCCGTGAGCGGTTCTGGTACTTTTTGGGTCGCAGCTGCTCGCAGCGCCGCTTCAACAGTGCGATACCCTCACGAGGGACGAGCGAAATATCAAACACGCCAGAGGTCCGTGCGACCTCACGACTGCTGATCGGCAGCTGGTCACGTGGTGTTAATCGCCTCTCGTAACCCCCTGTACACTACACGACGCTGTAGATGGTTGGAGATGGTGGATGAAATCCCACCATCTCCAACTCAACCTCTCTAAAACTGAACTGCTTGTCATCCCAGCTAAAACATCCATACAGCACAATATCTCAATCCAGAATGACTTCCTATCTCTGGCTCCTTCAAAGGCAGTTGGAAATCTGGGTGTTGTGATTGATGAACACCTGACCTTTAAAGATCGTGTTGCCTCTGTTGCTCGTTCATGCCGCTTTGCGCTGTACAACATACGTAAGATCAGACCATACCTAACACAACATGCCACCCAGCTCCTGGTGCAATCTACTGTCATCTCCCGCCTCCATTACTGCAATGCCCTTCTAACTGGTCTTCCAGGCTGTACTGTGAGACCTCTTCAAATGGTCCAGAACGCAGCAGCGCGTCTGGTCTTCAATCAGCCTAAAAGAGCACACGTCACCCCTCTGTTCATTGAGCTCCACTGGCTACCGCGAGCAGCACGCATCACATTCAAATTGCTAACACTAGCATACAAAGTCCGAGATGGTACGGCTCCCATCTACCTGAATCCTCTTGCAAAGGCTTACGTCTCGGCCCGGCCGCTCCGGTCATCACAGGATGGTCGGCTAGCAGTGCCTACACCACGCTCAGGACAATCCAGACTCTTCTCATGCATCGTTCCACAAATGTGGAATGACCTTCCTAACACTACCAGAACTGCGGCTTCCTTTTCAATTTTCAAGAAACTCCTGAAGACCCTGCTCTTCAGAGAGCATCTTCTAAACTAGCACCCTCCCTGCACCCGTCCCCCCTCTCTACCGTCCTCTCCTTGTTCCCTCCTCTCCATGACTGATGTCAAGTTGTTGTTGTTACTATTGTTGTTAGCCTCAAGGGCAAAATGCCGATTATCACTTGTAAGTCGCTTTGGACAAAAGCGTCTGCTAAATACATAAACATAAACATAAACAACGCTCAGCGCAAAACTCGCCCTGATCTCGTGGATTCTCGCACGAGCGGAAAATCGGCTCAAAAAAGTGAAAAAGTCGCACAGTGTACGCCCGGCTTTATATGTTGTAAAGCACCTTGGGGGGTTGTAGAAACCTAGAAGGCCATTTACCATTTAACAATAAAAACAAAAGTTCATAATAATGAGTAAAAATTAAAAAGGCAAACAGGATGCTGAAAATACAGAACATAGAGAAATAAATGAATTTCTACAAAACCACATTAAATGGAGACAGCTACTAAAATTAAACTGCTGATCCCCATAACTATCCCAGATCAAGAACTTATGGTTTATGAAATAACAAATGCAGGTTTAGACTAAATAAACACAGAGTATGAGCAGAAGAAGCTAAAGCCTGGTGACCACAGAACCAGGAGGAAACACCATGTATGAAGAAGTCAATTCTGTTAGGGTTAGGGTTAAGACTTTTGGCTTTTTCCACCTGCTCTTCTTGCTTTAGAGAAGCATGTGCTCTAAGGCAACAATAGCCTGGATTTGTGTTCCAAGAAGTTTCTGAGGCTCGAAGGAACCAAAACTACAAGGAAGCTACTGAATGAAACAAACATGCTCTTCTCTGAGGAAACCAGCATAACTGACCACCGGCACACTCACCGCACCAGCTGTTGGCAAATCTGGCATCCTGGAAGGCATCTGAAAAAAAATTCCACATTAACATGATCACAAATATGGATTTGAATCAAACCACTTTGCATAAAGTTCAAGTAGTGAACACGAAGATGGTGCCCAACCCCAACAGGTCAGACATTTGAGCTAATTTTGAACAGGGTTACATTCAAAAACATCTCAGAATTGTCCCGGTAGCAGCAGCACGTTCAGCAGGGAAATAATTAACAAAAGGAAAGAGTCTTCTGCCTCGTCAGAAAAGAAACAACGGACATCAGACTTCTTTAAACTATAACAGCTAAAGCTAATGGTCAGAGGAGGCTGTTCAAATATAAATCTGTGTGAAAACAAATGTTTATAGAAAATAAATACAAAACGTGTCACTAAACTGTAAACACACGCAATCTACTTTACCTCTCAAAGTAGCCAAAAACAACAAGCAAACTGTGAAACAAGGGCTGTAATTCCATTAAAACAGACTGCTTAGGGTTTAGGCCACCTAGTAATTCACACGTTTCCATGGAAACGGACAAAGGACGTACCTGTGGGGGTCCTTTGACACTGGAAGTATGTACACACATTCCCTCTTGGTGAAAGTGTTCTCTATCCAGGGTTTCTGGGACTGGAGGGAAAAAACAACAAAATTAATAGTTTTAGTTCTTCATATGAGAAGGTTTTTATCTCTTTCCGATGTGTCCCAACATCTAGGTGTGTGTTTTACTTGAGTTACAACAGAGCTCTGTAAAAATTAAACCTTATACAATAACAGAAGGGATGTGTGCCCCCTAATCTCCTGGATTAGGACAAAGAAAATCTGAAGAATTCATGAAGTCATTATAAAAACTGATTGGAACTTGAGTTCAGAAGTCAAAAGAGCCTGTTACTTTAACAAGAAAACACATTTCTGATGTGGTTTTAAGTTCAAGGAAGCTCTAAAGAATTTCTCGTGTTTTATGGCTCCTCCAGCTTGGCACAGAGAAGTCTGCAAACACCCGAGCATCAACAGTTCCTGTAACTCCAACAATAGTATTCTTACTGCCATGTGATCGGTTCAACACACAACTCCGATGGAAACCAGAACATTCCAGAAAGGAAAAATGGAAATTCCTGGCTAAAATCTGGTCCAGATTTGAACACATGAACAGGTCATCCTGCTGCTGGACCAATAATGCTGAGCCACTGAGTGTGTACCTGGAAGTCCTCCTCTTCATCTCTGTGTTTAAGAGCTTTGTACAGGAACATACCAAGGATCCCTCATGTATCTCCTGGACAAACCACAGCCGCCACAGCCTCCCCAGAGCACCTCACTGGACTCTTTCTCTCTTGATCAGTCCACAGTTTCAGTTTAGGTGTCAAAGTCTAAGAGGCTATGGTTTAGCATCCAGATCCGGCCAGAGTTAAAAGCTGAGTGATCAGTGAGAGGCTGCTGCCTTCCAACCCCATCCACAGTTAATCTGTAAGACGCCACTCTGGGGCCAGATAAACGTGTCTGAGACTAACTAGACATTAAAGTAAAGCAGGGGAGAAAGAGCGAAAGGAGGGGGGTGTGAGGCTTGAGTGATGGGCAGAGGATCCCATGATTTACACCTTGTTGTCTCCTGATGATACACCACTTACTGTGATTCATGCAGTCAACACCAAACCTCCCCTAATAACGGAGGGTCGCCTTAAAAGGGCAGTCAGATGGTATTAAGGAGCATTTTTGTCATTTTGCTTGGTTCTGGTGGCATTAAAATTTGTCAAAAAGGGAATAACTTTAATTTCTTCTGAAACGTTCAATCCAAACCACCAAATAGTCCCCGAGCGCAGCCACTGCTGCAGCTCACCGCTGCCCATGGGGATGAGTCAAATGCAGAGAACAAATTTCACCACACAGTGGTCAGTGTGTGACAACTAATAGGACTTTAATCTTTATTGAGGAGTGTCTCCTCTAGTCTCCAACAATCTACCAAACCCACGTTAAGTCATTTAGACAAATGCCCATAAAACACCTCAAATTCTCAACTGAACAAGAGTCAAAAACAACAAACCCTAATGAGGTCTCTGAATGGTGATGTCACAAATACTTTATAAATACACTTTAAACTCCAGGGCCACTACCTTGCATGTTTTCATCTTTTGCTGCTCCAACACACTCCTGATTTAGTGGCTGAATCATCAGTTCAGAAGCAATTTAAAGATGTAGATGACTGAAAATAATATTTTTTATTATTATTTTATTATAATGGGTCAGAGGAAAATAGTCTCCTACACCTATCTCCTGCAGTAGCTTCTGATAGAAAACAGACGGTGAAACTAAGATTAGAAAAGCCTGACAGATCTACGTCACACTGTCACCAACATTCATGGTCTCACCTATCTGGACTCACGACGGGGAAGGCTGTTGTTGGTTTATTCCAGGGAACAGCAGAGAATGCCTCAGCTAGTAGAAGCTAACTGTTAGCATTAGCAACTCCATCACACGGCAGAACTCCTCCAGGCTTGTGTTATTGGTGGAGATAAAACATCAACGTTGGTATCAGTGTAGTGTCAAGTTGCTGTTAAAGCTGAGGAAAATAATCTAATAATCAATGCATCCAGATACGAACATAAACAATTACAAATAATTGAAGAAGCACACCATAATCGATTATAACGCTAGCGGCTAGCTTGAAACGGACAATCCGAACCACCAAATAGTCGCCAAGCGCAGCCACCGCTGCAGCTCACCGCTGCAGCTCACCGCTGCCCATGGGGATGGGTTAAATGCACTCCCTAGTCTGTGGATTTCTAGATGTTTTAGGCTGCAACTAGGTACTTTAGAAGGAATCTTAACGTCATAAAATGGATTTTTTTTTTTAGGCGGAACAGATTTTCTCATTTCAGCTGTGTTCCAGATAATGTTACTCTCAATCAGTGGCATAAGTGATGCTTTTTAGAATTTTAGAGTAAACTTTAGAGTCTTACCTTTATTTTGATACCAAAACAGCTCAAATAAACCTTGAGATATACTCCATTCATTTTGGGTACGTCTTTTTCAAGAAAATCTCTGAAAAATGGCCTGGGGTTCAAGAGGTTCAAAGAAAAGCACACACTGGAGGAGCAGGAATATATGTTAAAGAGAAAAAAGGCACAACTAGAGTTGGACACAAAATTAGCTGCTGCTAATGCCAAACTAACAGTGTTTGAGGGCAGCACAAAAGACAGCATTTCATCCAAGAGGTCTGATGGAATGAATTCGTATTTCAAAAAGGTGCTAGACCCAAAGTCAAACCTACCTGTTTGAACCCACTTGCTCAACAGTTTGTAGCACAGGAAAGTTAAGCCACTGGACATGTATTGGATGGACAAAGTGCTTCTGACTCTTTTGTGCCAAGAACAAGTCCTCCTGCTGGCCAAAGCTCCCAAACACCCTCCTACTACCATACTAGCATCCACAGCTGCTAATAAAGGCTCTGTTCAAGTACCAAGTCAACCTGGAGACCTCTACAATGTGCTGAAACAACAAAACAGCATAACTGCCCTCCTGGTGCAAATGTAAACAACTCAGTCCCTGCCACACAGAAATCCCAATGTACCAAAGACATCCATTACAGTACGTCTCATTCATAAAAGCCTTTGAAACTTGTGTGGAGGCAAAGACTACCAAGGGAGATTGTTTGTACTATCTTGACCAGTACACCAGGGGGCAACCAAGAGACCTCGTACGCAGCTGCCTCCACATGACGTCAGAAAGGGGGTACATTAAAGCCAAGCAACTTCTCAAAGACAACTTTGGAGATGAATATAAAATAGCAGCTGCATACATGGAAAGAGCCACTGGTTGGAGCAGTACAAAAAGAAAGGATGTGGAAGCACTAAAGGCATATGGCCTCTTCCTTTGGGAGTGTTGCAATGCCATGGAGGAAGTGTGGTTTTTGGATGAGATAGGAATGCCAGCCAACATGAAACTACTCATTCAAAAGTTTCCCTTTAAACTGAGAGACAAATAGAAAACAAAGACAAACGAGATTCTAGAGAAAACTGGAACAAGAGCACGTTTTCCAGATCTAGTTAACTTTATTGAACATCAAATCAGGATTATTTCAGACCCGGTTTTCGGAGACATACAGGATACCCAAGTCACTAAAGGAACCCCAAGATTCCTCAAAGCTCAAATAAAAGCCCAAGTCAAAAGAAACCGTTTTGCCACTCACGTTTCCATTAATGATGAACGTAAAATATTTCCTCCAAAATCCAAGTTGAGCCCCTTTTCTTGTCTGCACTGTGCACAAGAGGGTCACATTGTGGAACACTGTCGACAACTAGGAAAAATATCCCATACGGAAATTTTAAAAGGACAAGGGTCTATGCTTTGGTTGTTTGAACACAGATCACTTAATTAAGGATTGTGACAAGCACAGCACCTGAAAACAATGAAGTCAAAGGCATCACAGTGTCTTGCGTATTGAACAAAGGGAAACTATGCAAAATGACATAAACATCCTTCACCTGTGGTCACACTGGGGCTGGCCACCGTGCAAGCATCCTTCCCAGATGAACCAATGAATTATAGACCAATATCTAACCTTCCATTTTTATCCAAAGTCCTGGAGAAAATAGTGGCCATCCAAGTATGTCAGCATTTAAAAACTAATGATCTGTTTGAGGAATTTCAGTCTGGTTTTAGAGAGTATCACAGCACTGAAACTGCATTAGTGAGAGTTACAAATGATATTCTCATGGCCTCAGATAAGAATCTTGTGTCTGTTCTAGTCTTGTTAGATCTCAGTGCTGCCTTTGACACAGTTGATCACAATGTTCTTTTAGAAAGACTTGAACATGTTGTAGGGATCAAAGGAACAGCGTTAGGCTCAGGGTCCGAAATTAACACTCGCCACTCGCCAAATGCAAGCAAATTGCTCCATTTGGCGAGTAAATTTTTGAGCTCTACCTGCCACCTGGCGAGTAATTGTTTGCACCAAATTAGTTATGTTTATCAGTCATCTAACACGGATTTCTGATACTCCTCCCGCCTGCATGCAACGTACATAAACGTACGCGAAACGTGAACGCCGCATCCAACGTCATTTCCACCTATCCCATTCAATCAGTTTATCAAGTTAGCAGTTAGCTTCGTGTTTAATCTAGCGGTGAGATGTGGCGGTTTTTAACTGGAGTCAGCCAGCCTTCCAAAAGAAAACTCGTCGAACTGGAAGAAAAACCACCAGGACCAGTGGCAACCAGAAGATTTTGTGAAAAGTGGCGAACTGGAGATGGCGGAGTCGTGAGACAATGGCTGCATTATGATGGCCACGTAGCGTTGCTGCCTTTCACAGACAACTGTCCCTCGGCATTCTTCAAATATCCAGAAAATGCCCATACTTCCCACTTTGTCTTCTTTGAGGGATAATAAATGTCCCAAGTGCTGCCGTCTCCTCCTGCCATTATTTCAGCTTTAGCTTAAAGAAAGTTTTGGTCGTAAACAACAAAGTGCGCATGTGCCGCCGGCAACTTCAGCAGATGATACGGTGGCTGGTAAGGGTCACCGCGCCTACACCGCAGCCACGGTAATCCACCGAGATAATATATATATATATATATATATTTTTTTTTTTTTAAACAAGACTGTTATTATTTATTGTCAACTTTTTTACCGGGGTT